AATATAATTGGATTTCAATCAATCAGACTATTGGATTGCCTCATGAAAAATATGTGATCGATAGCTTACAATTGTATCTTTAAACTACTGATCGAAATTCACTTCCCCGTGTGCGTCATATTGATGGAAAAGGTTGTTGAATATAGATTATTCCTAATGGGAGACATTGAGTGTGTAGGGATCTGCTGCCCTCTACTGTTAACTGCTAATATCACAGTGTTATGTATGATTATGTATTAACATTTGTTATCTCTGGGAGGGGCTTTGAAAACCCCAGAAGGAGGAAGAGGAGAGAGAGACAGAAAAACTGAGCCACATGACCTTATACACAGAGAGATTGCTACTACTGTTGTATTTTCACCCTTATCGTGAAGCAGAGACTATTGTGTAAGTATTCATATGTTCTAATAGTTTAACTGCAGCCACTCATAGCTTCGTGAGTGTATATCTAAATCCTTGTGACAGACTTATTACTGCCCTGTCTACGTTATTATCACATGCACAATGCCAGTTAGCAAGGTGTTTGCTACTATACATGCGTATTGGTCACCTTGCTGTAAGTTAATAGGTAAACTTGCACTAGAATTTATATACAGCTCCTGTTATTTTAGCTAACCCTACCCCTTCTGTTCTGGGATTCTATAACTAGTTTTAGCTTAGGGCACAACCACCAGCATAGGCTTAGAAGCAGGTTAGGCATCTGATGGCCACTTCTGGTAGGTCTGTTTGTATGAGAGATTAGAAACTACTAAGGAGGGACTAAAGTGCAGAGTAGATAGCCTGACTCTGAGCTTCAGTGCCACAGTGCATGTGAGAAGCTGCGGTCCAGTCTGATTGGACTACAGTTGGCAGATTTCCGCATCACCACTGATATTGTCTTTAGGTCTCTGACACAAAGACGGACACCACATTGCGATCATCCTCAGGGGCCCCTGCAAGTGGACTTGGCTGGAACATTCATCTGGAAGTATCTCTATTAATAACTAAATACACTTGGGTATATTTTTCCCCCCGTTCCCCCCCCAGGACTCTTGTTGGGCCCTTTTGCTGATAATACCTGTTTGTACATTGGATACATGTATTATTGATTTGCTTATAGAAAGCTTGTATTATTTCCATGCGGGTGTACATCTTTATATTCATGGTTAATGTTATATACTGGATGCAGTAATTCCTCTGCTCACAATTGCTTTGATTATATTACTGGCTATATTCCCAGGTAGGGAATCCCCCCCCCCCTTGTTCACAGAAGCCCTGTCTTGGGTGGAGGCAATGCCAACTTTATTATCAACCCATTCTTCCGCTTAGCGAAAATTCTGGTTCCCTTATTTACCTACAGGTTTAGTGCAATATCCTGTTTAAGGCAGGTCATCTGTCATAACAAAAATAAATTGATCATTTATCTTCCCTTTTGGGACCATATTCCTCTGTCCCTTTTTCCTTCTCAGTTGTCCCTCTTTGGCCTGTAGAAATAAACTAGTTAACTATCAAAATGTATACATTATTATTAGAGATGAGCAATCAAACTTGGCGAAGTGGAATTCGTTTCGAAGATTAGGAAAAATTTGATTCGCGCCGAATCCGAAAATTAGCAGACGAATCCGAAATTTTCCAAAAATGGCGGCGACATGTGTGGCGACGCAGCGGGGATCTCTGGGAAGGCGCGCAGACAAGGAGCGCTGACCCATAATGCATTCATTCATGACATGTGATCGCATTAGCCAATCAGCAGCCAGACAGCCAGCACTGTGTAATGGTCGAGCTATAAATTGCGGCCATCTTAGAATTCTCCATTAGCCTCCGGTCATTCAAGAGAGACAGACCTCTCTGTATTAGGGACAGAGTTAGGGCCAAAGAGACTTTAGGGCCACAGAATCGTTACTTAGGGACACAGAATTGTTACTCAGGGACACAGAATTGTTACTGAGGGACACAGAACTGTTACTCAGGGACACAGAATTGTTACTCAGGGACAGACACAGAATTGTTACTGAGGGACACAGAATTGTTACTGAGGGACACAGAATTGTTACTCAGGGACACAGAATTGTTACTCAGGGACACAGAACTGTTACTCAGGGACACAGAATTGTTACTCAGGGACACAGAACTGTTACTCAGGGACACAGAATTGTTACTGAGGGACACAGAATTGTTACTGAGGGACACAGAATTGTTACTCAGGGACAGACACAGAATTGTTACTGAGGGACACAGAATTGTTACTGAGGGACACAGAATTGTTACTCAGGGACACAGAATTGTTACTCAGGGACACAGAACTGTTACTCAGGGACACAGAATTGTTACTCAGGGACACAGAACTGTTACTCAGGGACACAGAATTGTTACTCAGGGACAGACACAGAATTGTTACTGAGGGACACAGAATTGTTACTGAGGGACACAGAATTGTTACTCAGGGACAGACACAGAATTGTTACTGAGGGACACAGAATTGTTACTGAGGGACACAGAATTGTTACTCAGGGACAGACACAGATTTTTTACTGAGGGACACAGAATTGTTACTGAGGGACACAGAATTGTTACTGAGGGACACAGAATTGTTACTCAGGGACACAGAATTGTTACTCAGGGACACAGAACTGTTACTCAGGGACACAGAATTGTTACTCAGGGACACAGAACTGTTACTCAGGGACACAGAATTGTTACTCAGAGACAGACACAGAATTGTTACTGAGGGACACAGAATTGTTACTCAGGGACACAGAATTGTTACTCAGGGACACAGAATTGTTACTCAGGGACACAGAACTGTTACTCAGGGACACAGAATTGTTACTCAGGGACACAGAAACTGTTACTCAGGGACACAGAATTGTTACTCAGGGACAGACACAGAATTGTTACTGAGGGACACAGAATTGTTACTGAGGGACACAGAATTGTTACTGAGGGACAGAGAATTGTTACTCAGGGACAGACACAGAATTGTTACTGAGGGACACAGAATTGTTACTCAGGGACACAGAATTGTTACTCAGGGACACAGAATTGTTACTCAGGGACACAGAACTGTTACTCAGGGACACAGAATTGTTACTCAGGGACACAGAACTGTTACTCAGGGACAGACACAGAATTGTTACTGAGGGACACAGAATTGTTACTGAGGGACACAGAATTGTTACTCAGGGAGAGACACAGAATTGTTACTGAGGGACACAGAATTGTTACTGAGGGACACAGAATTGTTACTCAGGGACACAGAATTGTTACTCAGGGACACAGAATTGTTACTGAGGGACACAGAATTGTTACTCAGGGACACAGAATTGTTACTCAGGGACACAGAATTGTTACTCAGGGACACAGAATCGTTACTCAGGGACACAGAATCGTTGAATTAAAGAGTATGTCAGACAACACGCAGAGGAGTGGCAGAGGAGGCAATGTTTCAGGAGCGAGCAGACGTGGCAGCAGAGGAAGGGGTCGAGGCAGCACTAGTTGCAGCCAGAGGCCAGTGCTCCCGGTGTCATCCAGCGGTTGTGTGTCCACCGACAACCCTGCCGTCATCGATTGGTTGGCTCGGTCGTCTTCCTCTTCCCAGGTCACCTCTGACACCTACAGCCAACGGTCGGTGGGTACGTCAGACACAACCGTTAGTTGGCATGGCCCGGGAGCAAGCCCACTGAAATCACGTGTCCTCTACCTGCCCCTGTCCTTTGGTGTTCCCTCACCAAGCGAAGTATCGCTCTGAGGAAGAAGGCATGTCCTTCGAAACGCGTCACCTGTACTGAGTGGCTTCCTCCATGATGGGATTCGCATTGGCATCTTGCCTCTAAAGTCCCTTTGAGGACTTACATGCTTGTTTTTATTCGCTGTTTGTGAGTACCATTCTTTTATTCAATAAATTTTTGGTTACTGAGGTAATGCGCAAGGTTGGTGCGCTTCTCTTTTGTTGTTCTCTTTCACAGTTTTGTTTGGGATTCCCCAGCCTTGATGTGGAGCTGCACGACCTTGTTTATTCCGGTGGTTCCTTTCTTTTTGGAGTTTGATTCCATCTACTCACCACCGGCCTGGGTCCCGGAGCGCAGGAGATATTACATTTGGTTCGCATGCTGTGGCTCAGCCCCACTGTACAGTGAGGAAGAGCTAACAGAGGGCGGTCAGGAACGGGGGGAGACATCCGCCTCTTCAGTAGCCAGGCGAAGAAGTACTGGCGAGGAGAGTGGCTCGGTAGCCGGTCTAGAGACAGGTCTGTCTCCTGACCCACACGCAGCCGAGGGGGCTAGTAGTGTGGCGGAGACCCTAATTGATGATGATGAGGCTGATCGCACTTGGCAGCCTCGTCGTCATCAGGCTATTGCTTCCGCATCATCAGGAGAAGAGGGTGCCAGCTTGGCAGCGAGCAAAACAGTTGGTGGGTTGCCCAGGAGGCAGCAGGGTCGCAGCAGTGTCAGTGGAGGCAAACGGCCACGGAGTAGAGCACCAGCTCCACTGCAGCCTACCACCACGGCCAGTAGTGGTGCCGGTGTGCACGGAGGAAGTAGCAGTCAGCCAGTGAGGAGTAGCGGGGGCAAAGTTTTCCTACTCGGCGGTGTGGCAATTTTTCGTCAAGCCGCCCGAGGAAGTAAACGTAGCCGTATGTCGACTATGTGGCCAGAAAGTCAACCGTGGCCAGGGGGCCCATGTCTCCATCGCCACACTCTGCCATGTGCCACTTTCAGGTCTCCTCACACTGCTGGTGGGTTCCATTTTGTCATAGGGTGCTGGCAGATTACGGGCCTCCCATTGCTGCTGCCAGGCCCGTAATCTGTCATGGGCCCCTGTACCCGCCTCCTCATGCTGCTGCCAGGCCCGTAATCTGTCGTGGGTCCCTGTACGGCCTCCCATTGCTGCTGTCTCCATCGCCACACTCTCTGCCATGTGCCACTTTCAGGTCTCCTCACACTGCTGGTGGGTTCCATTTTGTCATAGGGGTGCTGGCAGATTATGGGCCTCCCATTGCTGCTGCCAGGCCCTAATCTGCCATGGGCCCCTGTACCGCCTCCTCATGCTGCTGCCAGGTCCAGAGTGTGTCATGGGTCCCTGTACGGCCTCCCATTGCTGCTGTCTCCATCGCCACACTCTGCCATGTGCCACTTTCAGGTCTCCTCACACTGCTGGTGGGTTCCATTTTGTCATAGGGTGCTGGCAGATTACGGGCCTCCCATTGCTGCTGCCAGGCCCGTAATCTGCCATGGGCCCCCGTACCGACTTCTCATGCTGCTGCCAGGTCCAGAGTGTCTCATGGGTCCCTTTAACGGCCTCCCATTGCTGCTGTCTTCATCGCCACACTCTGCCATGTGCCACTTTCAGGTCTCCTCACACTGCTGGTGGGTTCCATTTTTGTCATAGGGTGCTGGCAGATTACGGGCCTCCCATTGCTGCTGCCAGGCCCGTAATCTGCCATGGGCCCCCGTACCGCCTCCTCATGCTGCTGCCAGGTCCAGAGTGTCTCATGGGTCCCTGTACGGCCTCCCATTGCTGCTGTCTCCATCGCCACACTCTGCCATGTGCCACTTTCAGGTCTCCTCACACTGCTGGTGGGTTCCATTTTGTCATAGGGTGCTGGCAGATTACGGGCCTCCCATTGCTGCTGCCAGGCCCGTAATCTGCCATGGCCCCCGTACCGCCTCCTCATGCTGCTGCCAGGTCCAGAGTGTCTCATGGGTCCCTGTACGGGCTCCCATTGCTGCTGTCTCCATCGCAACACTCTGCCATGTGCCACTTTCAGGTCTCCTCACACTGCTGGTGGGTTCCATTTTGTCATAGGGTGCTGGCAGATTACGGGCCTCCCATTGCTGCTGCCAGGCCCGTAATCTGCCATGGGCCCCCGTACCGCCTCCTCATGCTGCTGCCAGGTCCAGAGTGTCTCATGGGTCCCTGTACGGCCTCCCATTGCTGCTGTCTCCATCGCCACACTCTGCCATGTGCCACTTTCAGGTCTCCTCACACTGCTGGTGGGTTCCATTTTGTCATAGGGTGCTGGCAGATTACGGCCTCCATTGCTGCTGCCAGGCCCGTAATCTGCCATGGGCCCCCGTACCGCCTCTCCTCATGCTGCTGCCAGGTCCAGAGTGTCTCTCATGGGTCCCTGTACGGCCTCCCATTGCTGCTGTCTTCATCGCCACACACTCTGCCATGTGCCACTTTCAGGTCTCCTCACACTGCTGGTGGGTTCCATTTTGTCATAGGGTGCTGGCAGATTACGGGCCTCCCATTGCTGCTGCCAGGCCCGTAATTGCCATGGGCCCCCGTACCGACTCCTCATGCTGCTGCCAGGCCCGTAATCTGTCATGGGCCCCTGTACGGCCTCCTCATGCTGCTGCCAGGTCCAGAGTGTGTCATGGGTCCCTGTACGGCCTCCCATTGCTGCTGTCTCCATCGCCACACTCTGCCATGTGCCACTTTCAGGTCTCCTCACACTGCTGGTGGGGTTCCATTTTGTCATAGGGTGCTGGCAGATTACGGGCCTCCCATTGCTGCTGCCAGGCCCGTAATCTGCCATGGGCCCCCCGTACTGACTCCTCATGCTGCTGCCAGGCCCGTAATCTGTCATGGGCCCCTGTACCACCTCCTCATGCTGCTGCCAGGTCCAGAGTGTGTCATGGGTCCCTGTACGGCCTCCCATTGCTGCTGTCTCCATCGCCACACTCTGCCATGTGCCACTTTCAGGTCTCCTCACACTGCTGGTGGGTTCCATTTTGTCATAGGGTGCTGTATGGCCTCCCATTGCTGCTGCCTCCACCGCCACACTGTGGCTCCACACTCTGGTTTTGGCCCCGTGACTGCCCAAATGAGTGAAGTGTGCGGTGATTCTAAGATCGACGGCACTCATCTGCATGTCAAACTGACTGACAGTATTATTTCTCTTCCCAGCAGACTCCAAGGGCATTTAAATTAAAGGTACAGTGTTCTGCACTAATATAAGGCTCTCTGAAGCCTAGAAACACACCCTTTTTATAAGTTAAATTCGCAGCGAATATATTCGCCTCGAATCGAATTTATTCCTCGAATTCGCCGAATCAGCCGAATCGAATTTTTGAATACTTCGCTCATCTCTAATTATTATTAACATTTTATTCCAACTTATAAATTATGACATTTTTTGTTTTAAAAACCAGGATACGGTAAAAATTGGCTGAAAAAAAGCATTTGATGGTTTTAATAATTATATTTTTTCATGCTAACTCCTCATGATCTAGGTAAGTATGTGTGTGATCGGGGGTGGCCTTTGCTTGCAAACTTTATGCTACAGGGTGCCTCTTTTTTCTCATTTCAGAAAGTTGGGAGGTATTGCTTGCATTCTCTTTAACCTCCCTAGCGGTCTGATTATTTCAGATTTTTGGTGCTTAAAGCGGTACCATTATTTTGCATGGAAATATGTAGTTTTTTTATTGTAGGCTGTAATTTTTAGGAATAACTCACTGAAATCTGTCCGAACAAGAGTCTATTAAACATTTCGGATATGATAAAATTTGAAACACGAAATCATAAATTATAATTTAATAAATAATAAAAAATAATAATATAATAATAATACATTTAATTCAATAATATAATCAAACCAAAAGCACTGAAATTTGAAATAGAGCGCTAAGTTCGCACATTGCTGAGCAAAGTCGCAAAATCGTTTTCAGTGTCTGATGACGAATTTCCCCACGAATCATTATCACTCAATTCTGCAAGTGGTTCTGATTTACTATCGCTGTTCTCTAGCTGATCTAAACCTGCTTTTGACCTAAAGGGACACTTTTTGGACGCCATGGACATTTCTCAGTTTCCAGGCAGAAAGAACAGACAAAATGCAGACAGGGGACAGGACAAAGCATTAGGGACAAAATGTATGTGAAATGGGTTGAAACAGCAATGTTTTGCTATAAATTTTGAAAAAAATGACATTTTTTTAAAATTTTCAAATTTCCCGCCGCCGGCGGTGCCCGTACGTCCCGACGTCAGAGGGACCGGAACACAGAAGCTGGATGCCGGCATCGGCCGGAGGAGATGGCCGGGGACGCTGCAGGGGACACATCGTGGGAGCGAAGGACAAGGTAAGCTCTGCAGGGACTCCCTATGCAGCGCCGCATGGTAAGCCCGAGTGTAGCTCGGGGTTACCGCTTTTGGCACTGACATTTTACCCCGAGCTACACTCGCGAATACCGCCAGGGAGGTTAAAATGACTCTTATTCACCAAAAATAAACACTACATAATGGCTCTGTAATCTATTTTTCATTAAATTGTTTCTTACTGTGTTTTTTTTGCAATAGGTGATACATGTAAGTTGCGGTCATATGTACTGCTCTACGCACACTACAATTCCCATAGTCCACCTTGTAAGTAAAATAGAAAGGGTGCCCATATTCCTTACTAAGGGACCATAGAGAATGAATGTAGCCACTCTCTAACAGGTCAGATCACAGCAGCAAAAAAAGGAATCTAGAGATTTGGAGGATGTTGGGAGAAAAAGAAGGGACTTTTCTGATTTAGGAATACTTGATTTTTTTTAATCACATGCTTCCCAAGCCTATTCTGACACTGCTCTTCTATATGTAGAAGTCATAATTTTTTTCCCTACAAAATACTAGGCCCTAGAACAAAAAATGGTAAGTGTTGCAATTTTTTATGTCATATGGTATTTACCTAGCCATTTTATACATTTTCTTTTTAAATACACTTGAATGAATTTTAGTGCACACAAACACAATATAATACCCAATTTTTTGTAAAATAAAAAAGGGGATGTTACGCCCAGTAAATAGATACCTAACATGTCACGCTATAAAATTGCGTATGCCTGTGCTGCAACGCCAAACTACAGCACCTAAAATCTCTATAGGTATTGCTTTAAATGCTATTACAGGTTACCAGTTTACACAGAAGGTCTAAGGCTAGAATTATTACTCTCACTCTGGCGTCCAACATGAGACCTCACATGCATGGCGTGATCACTGTTTACATACGCATACAGAAAGGACTCATTTGTTTGCCTTTGTGAACAAGCACGGAAGGATGGGGGCACTTAAATGTTTTTTATTTGATTTTTTTTTTTTTTACACTTTTTTTAAAAAATCACTTTTATTACTGTCACAAGGAATGTAAACATCCCAACGTCCCCTAAATGGAGACCATTTGATCTCCAGAGACCCCTATAGGTAAGCCGGCACAACTGCCGGCTTCAATGCCGGGCTCCCCTATCACACAGGAGAGCCTGGAGAGGCACCGGAGGGCAGAGGTGGGGGCTACCTCTACAGCTGCCTGTAAAAGCATTCCAGTGGCTAATTAGCATTACATTAAAGGGATTCACCATCTGAAAACAAAAATACCAGGATGATGCCTAGTTGTAGGCATTATCCCAGTAGAACCACTTCAACCAGAGGACCTATGGGTACGGTCTATGAGAAGGAAGTGGTTTAACCAGAAATTACTGTCACTTTAAGTTTCCAGTGCACTAAATATTTCTAATAAACTCTTTTTATAACAGCCATTGCAGTAGGGTTAAATTTAGGAGTCCTGAGAAAAAAAAAGGTTGATTATACCTGGCCCTGCAACTGTATTCACATCTAAGCAAAATCCAGGGATTACATAAATCATAACACAGGCTGCATTTAATTCAACCACGGGCTTTGCACACCGTGTTGTAATAGAGAAATTGAGCCAATTACAGAAGCAAGGGTACAAGGACTATAAGCTGTAGTCTGTTGCCATGGCGCAACAAAGAGAAATTAGAATTTTATTTTGGCAATTATAGAAAATCGTGGACGGCAGCAGATTGAGAAAGAAATATAATTTTCATTGACATTAAACTGCAGAATGGCTTTTATGGCGATTATAGGCCTTATATCAAACCTTAACAAAACAGCATTTCAATATAATGATCGTTTTTAATCAATTTTATCAACAATTGTATGCAATTCAAAGCTATTCCAGCCATACGAGATCCTGTAAAAAATTTCATTCTGTCCTACAGATGCACTCTCAGCTAGAAGGGTCTGGAGGTGTAAGTGGAATATATCATTAGGTATCCTGAGCACTAATGACATGCTGGGCTAGATTAAGCCCCATCACTCATTATAATGTATTTTATCTGGTTCTCCTCTGTCGTACATCACCCGAGTAATGGCATCGCTGTTATACATCACCAGGGTTATAGCACTAACAATGCATGCCATCCTAGCAGAGTGCTGGACATGTCTGAGAGGCGCCGTGATAAATAGATGGACAACAGGAGAGAAAGGGCACAAGGAACACTCTCTCCACAAGAAGTAGGACAGATGAACGGAATACAGAAGGCTGAGGTGACAGAGGCATTAAAATGAAAAAAGGGCATTGGAGGATCCGGTTTAGTAATGAGTGGCTGGCAGGAAGAATGACCCATGCAATGCTAGTGACTTATTGCAGAAAAATACACATTTTATTTATAATGCAAGTGGTAGATTACCAGAACATTCAGTGGACTCTGGAATCCTAGGGGAGTTAAAGTGACACTAAACTCAGATTTAAAAAAGAAAACAAATCTATTCAAGTATGTATTCTTAACTCAGAAAAGTCCTTTCTATTGTTATCAGTCTCCTACAAAACTCCAAATTTCTTTTTTTTTTGCTGCTGTTATCCAACTTCCAGTTAGAGAGCAGCTACATTTGTTCTCCATGGTCCAACTACAGTATATAAAGGAATGCAGCCACCCTCTAACAGAAAGTCAGATCACTACAGAAAAAAAGGAATTTGAAGATTTGGATGAAACTGGGAGCAAAAGAGGGTACTTTTATAAGTTAAAATGACGTAACTTCAAAAAGTACCCTTTATTGCTCTCAGCCTCCTCCAAATCTCCGAAATCCATTTTTTGCTGCTGTGTTCTGACTTCATGTTAGTGGTGTTCCAAGCAAACGGAAGTGATGGGGAATTTTGGGGGTTTTGTTATAACTGTTTGCACGCTGTGTGAATGCCACTAAACTGAGAAAGTTGCATATTTTAGCTACGAAACACATCTATGGTGTTTAGTAATTGATACATTTCATGTCCAAATTAAAAACAATGACTTCAACCCATTTCTAAAACGTCAACCATGGGTGACTTTGCTGTTCAAACAGTTGACTAGACTTTCTCTCCTTCATAGATCAGCTAATCACCCTTCTGATGTCCTCCATGAGGACCTAGGACCAGGTTCCCCAAGGTATCAACAACAATCTAACCTTTGTCCTGCATGGAGACAGAGGTATTCTCCACACACAGGTTCAGAAGGTTGCATCTACAATATCACTTGGTCATTCACAACCTCAACAAATGTGAGTTGTTTCCTTTTTTACCTACTTTCATCTCTATACATTTCCTAATACCATCCTTATACTATACATAAGGGCTCTCCTGCCTCTCCTTATTTTTCCAGTGGACTCTTTGTAGCTTGGCTTCCTTCTTTCTTTGTACATCTTTGAGGACCACCACCCCATAAATAGATATAACCAAACTCTTTCAATTATATTTTTAACCAGTGCTTTTTTCAGCTTGAACGTGTCGGAACATAATTCTGGCACTAGCCCTTTGCCTGACTCTCACTACTGTCACTTGCACACACAGAAGCTCAGTCATAGCCCTTCCACCTTGCAACATCTTTATGAGAGCAGAGTAGGGAGGGAGTGGGGGGGATGTGCACAGCGATCTAGAGAGCTCTGTATTAAGGAAATTGAGGAGAACTTTCAGTAAACTGGCCTATGAAATATACACTACCTAAATCTGCACCATGTGCATAGCACACTTAGGCATTCTGTATGTAGTGTAATCTTGAATACTTTATTCTGTATGTAGCGCACTCCTGAACTCTGCACTCTGTACGTAGTACACTCCTGAACTCTGCACTCTGTACGTTATGCACACCTGAACTCTGCTCTCTGTATGTAGCATACTCATGAACTTTGTACTTTGTATGTAGCACATT